GTCCCGTTGACATTTGTAAAATAATGATTTCTGACTACCAAGACGTCATGAAACGAATCATTACTGGACACGAGACTTGGAACTACGCTTATGACCCAGAAACAGCCAATCAATCCAGTGAATATCGTGCAAAAGGTGACCAAAACCGAAAAACACACCAAAGTCGCTCAGAAATCAGGTCATATTGACAGTTTTCTTTGACTATTGTGGCACTATGAATTTCTTCCAACCAGCCAAATGTTAACAAAGAATATTATTTGAGTGTTATGCGTCGTTTGCGTGATGCTATTCGCCGCAAAAGGCCGGAATTATGGACAGACAACTCTTGGTTTTTGCATCATGATAATGCACCGGCTCTCAGCATTGATAATTCAAGACCATTTCGCCAAAAATTCAACTCGTACCGTTCCGGAATCACCATATCAACTTCTGGCTATTCCCTATATTCAAAAGACCACTCCGTGGACACTGTTTCGACTCGATCAAGGAAATAAAAGCCGAATCGACGAAAGCATTGAAGGCCATACGGGAAAATGACTTTTCAGACTGTTTCGAGAGTTGGAAAAACGTTGGCATAAGTGTACTCTGAATCAGGTGGGGATTGTTTTGAAGGCGACGAAATTGATTTGGAAGCATAAAGATTTTTTAATTTTTAAACAAATTCCCCTTATTTTTTGGACAACGGGTTATATGTGGGCCTTAAATATAACGTCCCATTTGAAAAAATAAAATTAGGTAAAGCCCCCAAAAAATCTAACACCCTTTATAATTGAAACTAATTTTAAAATAAGAAGAAACTGATTTGGTGCAACTTGTATTTGAAATTCTTTGTTTTGTTATTGATATTATCAGGACTATGGGAGAGTACGCCTGGGATTCTGTTTATTTTTACTCAAGGAAGCTACCCATTCCTTACCAAACGCCCTGTGGAAATAAGATTACACCTCATTAAATCTTCTTTTAATTCACAGCAACAAACAGATATATTTAACGCGATCATTACAAAATCCAAACGTCACCCCCCCCCCCCCCCCCCCCCCTCCGGCTCGACAGTACGATGGCTACGTTGTACATGTATATATTAACGAAACGAAAACAATCATGACATTCAATAGCTATTTTTAGAAGTAATTGATTAACGCTATCCGTTTAAATTCTATTAAACAAAACCGCAATTTTGATACCAAGGTAATGTAAAAACCATAAATTAAAAATGGAATAAAATCTAATAATCCCGTACTAGGAAAGGAGTGTTTTTATCTTTATACAGTGAGCCGATATTCTCCCATGACACTTTCATAAAAAAATGTTATTTTCATTATCATATTTATTTTTAACACCAACTCATAAATGTATAATTTCATTGATGGGACTTATTTAAAACGAGATTGGATACTGGAAAAGTAAAGCAACATACCAGAAAATAACAGAACTTTATTATTAATTTTATACATTTATTGGTCGTTGTCTCCTTCAAAGTATTACCCTCCCCTAATCACACACTTTTCCCAGCGGTGTTTTCCATTTAACGAAGCAGTCTTGGATAGCTTCATTTGAAATGGCCTTTACCTATAGTCTGTAACAAATTTGCTTTGATGTCATCAATAGTCTGAAAACGGCACTGATTTTAATTTCGGAAATAAGAAAGAAACGCAGGAAACCAGGTCTGGCGAGTAAGGAGGGTGAGGAAGGACAGTAATCTGATTTTTTAGCACAAAACTGACGAACTAACAAAGCTGAGTGTGCAGGCGCATTGTCATGCTGCAAGAATCTCAACACAACTCTGGTTTCTTTTTGCGTATTCTTTCACGCAACCGTTGTAAAACGCCTTGATAGTACTCGCAGTTTACTTTTATCACCTCGAGGCAAGATTTCAAATTGCATAATTTCATTAAAGTCGAAAAAAAACAGTGAGCATCACTTTGACATTGGATCGAGACTGACGTGCTTTCTTGGGGCGTGGAGATCCTTTGTCAATCCATTGCGATGATTGAACTTTTATCTCAATGTCGTAGCCGTAAACCCAGTAGTTTTATTCCTTCGAATGAATGTTTCATCGACATTAGATTGTTCAAGGAGTTGCCGACAAACGTCCACACGATTTTCTTGCTGTTGTTCGGTCACCAAACGAGGAATAAGTTTTGGTGCAACTCAATGCTTGTTCAATTTTTCAGTGAAAATTTCATGGCGTGACCCAATTGAGATGCTAGCCTCTTCTGCAATTTCTTTGACAGTCAATCGGCGATTTACACGCACCAGATCTTTGACTCACAAAAACTAAATGAGATTATATCAACAATCCAAGAACATGTGTCTACAGAGATTATGCACAACCCAGTGCTGCCAACCGCGTATCACTAAATATCTCGAATACCGCGTAATTCAAAAAGTTCGGTTATTTCTGAACAGACTTCGTACACAATGCCCAGCAATGTGCGGCGCATAGGAATTTCGAATATGCTAATAATTAATGAACACACTTTTGAAGCAGCTACGCACATTTGCGCTGATATTAAAAACTAATTACATCGAATAGACTGTTTTAACCAAACAATAATCAAAACAAATGAGTTGCAACAAATTGTCATAGCGCAGCTGACTAAATCAGGTAGCTGCTGATTACTAATCTGTCACATAAATTAAAATAAATTAAGTAGTGTGTAGCACAAATCATATGTGTGTAGTGTTCTAAACACGGATTCTACTAGATTCAGTTGAATTTAAGATGGGTTAAACGGTTAAAGGGTGCGAAGGTCACGAAAAACCGCATGGGAGTCTAGTGTATATTTTTGAATTTATTCTGTATAAATTTTAAAGTGGGCTACAAAGCACTAGTTCTGGTGACGTTTAGATGGCGGTAATACTGCTACATATAGATTAAATGTAACATATGCCTACTTGAGTGCCTACTTATTTCAGAGATAAAACACTTTTTGAAACTTCAGAAATGAAAGTAAAAATTTATTTAATAATTCAAAAAAATATTAATTTATTCAATGATAATGAAAATATAAATACTGTCATCTTTTCAAAAGAACTCATTCAATGTGAAACATTTTCTTATTTTATTTACCTACTCTATTTCCATCGTTGAGTACCTAGTAGTTATTACTACAAATAGACAGGAATATGACGAAAATGCCGTGACTGTTGAGTAGCCAGGGATCTGTAAAGTTTTTCATAAAATTNTCGAGACGCCGTGTTGTAAATACGACGGCGCGATGTAGCTAGGAAGGCGAAGCCCTTCGGGCTTCGCCGGGGATCGCTGCGCGATCCGGGGGCGAAGCCTTTGCAATCCAAAGTCGGCCCTTTTTCGGCCCGATCGTGCGACGCAGACGGAGCTATCAGATTTTAATATATATTGATAAAAGGTCTAAAACAACCCAAAATATCACTTTTTTGCCTACCAGAAAAAAACGATAATTTTTATTATAATGTGAAAGTAACCAACTTGCAGGGAATAAAAAAACCTTTAAAATGGTTTTTAAAATCCGATACTATAATTTGTTGCTCGGGAAATTGCAAAAAACTGTCAAAATTCGATTATTACTAAATAAACAAAAAGTTTTGCAAAAGTCAACCTACAACTTTGATGTTACATAAATAGTTGGCTTTTATAGTCCTTAATATGTGATTAAAATTTCTGACCGATTCATCCAATAGTTTTTGCAAAATTCTAAATGTTTATCCCAGAGGCATTATTTTTGCAATAACTTGATACGCAAAATTACCAAGATATTTTAATTCTGCGGGTATCATATGAAAGAGAAAGACTTCTTTTATTGGAAGAAATTATTTTATTCCAAAAAAATTGTTTTTTACCACTGCAAAAACGTACCACAAACACTGTCATTTTTCTCTTATAAACAATTAGAATAAATTTGTTTCTATTATATTTAGAGAGATTATTTTTCCATAGTCGTAAAGCTGGCATTTTGTACACAAATTAAAAAAAAAAAGTTGCTCTAATTTATTTTGGGGCAAAGTTAGACCCTTCTTTTTAAAAAAATCACAGCTACTTTGTTTATAATAATTTAGACTTCTAATAAGTGCCATTTCGAAGATAAAGAGCTAAAGTTTCTATGTGAAATTTTTGAGTACGATAGCTTTGTAACAGCATCTCTGAGAATGTTCCAAATAATTACTGTAAGTCAGTGGAGGGGGAACCTACAAATCCACGAGCAAATTGATAGAGCAAGTTATATCTCTGGAACTTGTTGACCGATTTTGATGTTTTTTTTTTTTAATTTGGGGTATCTTCTTGCGTACATCACAAATATGCATTTTGTTAATAAATAGAAATTTAAGTTAATCCAGTAATTTGTTTAAACATTAACAATTTTTTTTTGCATCAACATCTTTTGTAATTTTTTGTAATGGAACATTATTTCTTAATAAATTAATATTGCATTTAACTAAGTATTTTGTTTAAACTTTTACCAAAAAAAAAATCTAAGTTATCAACATTTTCGGAGTTATTTTCACAGGAAGTTATAGATATAGGTTATTTTTTTTTTATTAATAAATTAGCATTAACATTATAATATATTAAAATTCACCCAAATTGTATGAAAAACTACAGATCCCTGGCTACTCAACAGTCACCACCAGATCATTTATTTTCCTTATATCCCTGGTCTAAAAGTACTAAAGTATGTAAAACCAAGATATATTTAAAATCTTGCGAACTAAAAACATTTTCGGACCATTTTGTGCATATAAGTACTTCAAATATTCTGTTATTAGAATTTTTAAATGAATGTTGGCGACAATGCAAGTGTACATTTATCTTAGTTCAAAATTTCTTGATGTTTTCTGAGATACCCTGTATATCAAATTTTTAATTAAATTTTCTATATACATTTGACCCTTATCGAGTTTTAGGTTTTCTAATGTGGCAATAGAAGTATAAATTATTTTCCCCTGACTTTGTGCGCGAATCGAATAATCGAGCTATTGATTTGATTGATTTGATTGATTGATTACGTTGTCGTTTTCAGGCCGGAGGGCATGGACACCGGATCCGAATCTGCAACAACAAACAACGACTTCCCCCTGCGGAAGACAGGTAGGTACATGAAAATGTGAAACCGACAGGTCTTGTTAAACGCAGATCTAGACGATACCGGTTGCCGAAGGGGAAACGGCTGGCATAATTTGATATACAAGCTATTTGACTAATACTCCGGTAATTGACATTGTTTTTTGAAAAATATACGACTCGAATTTAATTTAAAAAGGGACATCTTTAACTTCCTGTATCTCAAAGACCAAACCAAAAGCCCGCCGTTCATCAAATAACTGCAGATCTTCAGCTGATGAACCCAAACAATATTATTAATGAAAAGAAAACATACCTAATATACCTACAGGGTGTGATTTAAGTACGTGGCCAAACTTTAAAGGGTGATTCTTAGAGTCATTCTAAGAGGAAAAGTTTATATAAACATAGGTCTAGTAATGCTTCGTTTTCAAGATAACAGGGTTTCAAATTTTTTTTAAATCGTTTTTTTGTAAACATCTTAATAATCTTTTAGCCGATTTTGTTGAAATTTGGTAGTGTTATTTATGGTAGAAAGGAGCTAATTTAGCCATAACTAGATTAAAATTATTAAGTCCAGTAGCGTCCCGGGGGACACTTTAACCAATATTTTTGACAAAAAGAAATATGCGCCGCTGATTTTTTAAAAACATAATTTTTTTCGCATTAAGCAACTAAAAATGCGTTACTAACTTTTTTGTCTCTTGATTTTTTTCGTATCTAGCTTCCTTTTTGGAGAGAGAAAAAAATAAAAATCACTTTATTACATGTCTCAGGGACAACATAATAAAAAATATTAAAGCTACCGAACTATCAAGAACTGGGGTGTACCTGTTATTTTTTTCCATATTAAGTGTTAGAAATTGTTATAAAAATTAATGTTATTTAATGGTAATTAATGTAAATTAATTAATTAAAGAAAAATACTATATCGTTCCATTTAATTTTTCTAGTAAACAGAAACAATTACTTATTACCTTTTTTTAATTAGTGTGGTCTACCGTTGCGCAGGAAATTAATATTTTTATTCCCATAACATAAAAATAAATGTTATTAATAGTTATTTAAAATGAGCCCTCATTTATCGAAATCGATTAAGGCATTTAGAAGTTGTGACAATTTAAAAATTTCAAGATGGCGTCTTTCATACTGGCGTTACTATGGAAATAACAAATAAAAAGTTCAAACAAAACTTGTGAAGGGTTTAACAGTGCAGTTAAAAAGTGTATTTTCAACTTATTAAGCGAAATTTTCGACAATTTAACAACAATTTACGACAATTTTCTGTAACACTATAGCAGTTGCGCCCCTACCGGTGAAGTTACAAACTTGAAAATATTTTAAATCAATTTCCCAATTTGTTAATAGATTATTTACCCCACAATCGTAGTACGTCTAGTTTCCTATATACAGCCGCTCCCTACCGTTAATGGATCACCCTGTATATAGGTATTTAAATTTAACTAAATTTAATAAAAAAGGTAAATTTTGGCTAGAAATAAAGCTTTGTTTTTTGTAAATCTATATTTTATTTCCAATAATATTTAAATATTTATTAATCCCATATAGTCCAATTAAATGAGCCTTTAAATCACAATTTGGTCAACTTGCCTGAATTTTTAGTATAAGTTAGTTTGAAGTATATAAGTGATAGTAATTTTTTTTCAGTTCCCGGCTAGGGATGAGAAAAGATAAAATAAAGGGGTTTTTCCAGTTAACTCAAAAGAGATAAGAGCTAGAAAAAAAAGTTCTTATAAAAGTTGTAGAGCATAAAATTCTACATAAAAATGATATATGGACTTTTTTTTGTACTATTAAGATTAACAGAGTTAGGGTGGCTAGAAGTTAAGGGATTAATTCAGAAATTTAAAAAATCATAAGGAGAAAAATGAATTGTTATATTTTTTTTTAATCTACTCTAAAAAATGTAAGCTTTCTTTTCAGAAAAATAGATATATTTTTAAATTTTTAATAAAAAAGTTATAACAATTTCAACTTTTTAATCGTTAATTTTTATCATTTAACACTAATACAATTTTTTTCTATGCCTTTCGACTGATTATTTAAAATAATGAAAAGTTGCTTTGGAAATTTTGTTTTACGATAAAAATAAAGATAAAAAAAATCACGTTCGTTTTGTGAAATTGTTATAACTTTTTTATTAGAAATTAAAAAATATGTCTATTTCTCTGAAAAGGTAGTTTACATTTTTTAGAGTAGATTGAAAAAAAATTTTTTTTTAATTCATTAATTTTTCTGCTTGTTATTTTTTAAATTTCTGAAATCATCCCTTAACCTCTAGTCTCCCGAACGCTGTTAATTTTAATAGTTCAATAGACCATTTTTATGTTTAATTTTTTGCTCTACAATTTTTATAAGAAACTTTTTCTATCTCTTACCCCTTTTGAGTTATATTGAAAAACCCCTTTATTTTGTCTTTTTTCACCCCTGGCCGGGGGTTGAAAAGAAAATTACTGTCATTTGTTATTATTATATGTCTCAAACTAACTTATATCAAAAGTTTAGGCAGGTTGACCAAAATTGCGATTTAAAGACCCATTTAATTGGACTAATATAAGAGGGCCACTTGAAAAATAAATCCTTAAGATTCAGGAACAGATGAGATCTATCTATCTATCTAGCTATCGTGACGGTTTTTGACAGATGTGATGTTAGAACAAGAATAGAAGACATTTCTTTGAAATGTTACATTATTTGATGATGTCAATATGTCGGGTATGTGTTTTTTCTCTAATAATACTTACTTAAATAATTGTTAATTACTAGCTTGTGTATGCCTAGACGGTGTCAAAGAACATTGCTGACGCGGGATTAGAAAACGCGCCGTATATTTTTATAAATTGTTTCCAGCATCCGAGCCTAATCTCCTCAAGGTGCGCTTGAAACAGCGCGTGATGGAACGTAGATGTAGCCCAATGAGTAAAAGACTTCCCCCATCGCTCAAAAAGAAACTCCTAAGCTCCTGCTTGCCACCCAGCGACTCGCCCCCACAGGAGCCCCCCAAGGAGCTGAGTCCCCCCTGCGAATCCGAGGAGTACCAGCGGCACATGCTCTTCAGCAGCCCGTCGATGCCCAACATTTCCCTAGCCGCTCACCACGTCCTTTCGCCGGACCTCTCCGAGGCCGCCGTCAGGGCGGCCTGCACCGCCAGGCTGGGTGAGTACCCTCCCACCTCAATGATGAGTTTATAAAAATATCTTAGTCTTAACCGTAACTTTACAAGATTTAGAATTGCTGCAATTTTTTTTGTGCGTTTTCATGTATTGGTCACATTACCTTGACGTTTGTAACAAAATCCGAACAACAGTTATTGTAGAGTATAACCAGCCCTTAACAGAATATGTTGCAACAATAATACGAGTATTAAAACACCCTACGAAGGTTCAGACAAGATTTCAATATCATCAGATCTATCTTAAAAACTTCTTACTCAAAATTATAAATCATATATCCAGCCATGGATAATATAATACAATAACTAATAAATACATGCTCAATTTGTTTGACTTGGAGTTAAAAAACGGATTATACGTGTGTGCTCAAATGCTCTACTTTGCTCTTCATGAATGCGTATAGCATAAATACAAAAGCGTCCATAACTTGCGAAACCAATCACTTAGGATTTCCAATTTGCCATTTTTTTCATCTACGAACAATATAGAAACTTTCTGCGTTAGCTGATTTTGGATCCATTTTCGGACCACTTTTGCATGCTTGAGGAACACCATG